TAAAAGAAGATAATTCAATCTTAAGATGTTTAGCACTAGAGCTCGTAAGTACATCCACTATTTGTAAGAATCGTTTCACTAACAAGTTCAGAATGGAAAATAAAAAATAAAAAAGAAAGTTCAATTTTAAGATGTTCTGCACTAGAGCTTGTAATTAAGAATCTTTCGAGTAACAATCCCTGAATGGAATCCGAGAAACAGTTGTTGAGGCTCTTGCAGTTAAAAAATTTTCCTGACTCTCTCAAGTGCTTCAGATCTGAAACTTTCCAATAAAAAATCCTAAATGGAGTTTGAGAAACAGACTTTGAGGCCCTGCTAAGCATTAGTTATAAGTAGTTGAATAATTTTCCTGGCCCTTCTTTAGTGCTTCAGATCTGGATCTCTCCAGTAAGAAGTTCTGAATGAAGTCTTTGAACAGATTTTGAGGCTCTGCTAAGCATTAGTTATAAGTAGTTGAATAATTTTCTTGGCCCTTCTTTAGTGCTTCAGATCTGAAACTTTCCAATACAAAATCCTAAATGGAGTTTAAGAAACAGATTTTGAGGCTCTGCTAAGCATTAGTTATAAGTAGGTGAATAATTTTCCTGGCCCTTCTTTAGTGCTTCAGATCTGGATCCAGTAAGAAGTTCTGAAGTCTTTGAAGCATTAGTTATAAGTAGTTGAATAATTTTAATGACTCTCTTAAGTGCTTTAGATCTAAAACTTTTCAATAAAAATCCTAAATGGAGTTTGAGAAACAGATTTTGAGGCTCTGCTATGCATTCGTTAAAAGTAGTTGAATAATTTTCCAGGCCCTTCTTTAGTTCTTCAGATATGGTAAGCACATTCTTAAATGGATCTTTCCAATAACAAGTCCGTCCATTCATATATTGATGGAAACATTGGAAACTGATTTTCAGGAATTTTAAAAATTGAGTTCTGTTCAGATCAGATTTGTTGTGGACTCACGATCAAATTTAATGCGCTACAAACAGCTCCACGTAGATAGATGTGTATAAGTCGGCTTGGAAAGGGTACGGAAATATGGGGCAGTTGACTGGGTTGCTGGAGCTCCTGGGAATGGGTTGCTTACTGCAACTGCCAACTGCTTTTGTTATGAATGATGATGGCAAATCTGGCAGCAGCAATGGGTATGCGTTGGCCACGGGGTCGGGTTGGGTTGGGTTGGGTTGTGGGCGAGGACATGGGACGCGCACGCGGACGCGGACACGGATACGGACAGAGCGACGGAGTGACGGAGGGACGGAGCGACAGCTACGGCCAGAAAATTTTTGGTTGAAAATGGCACAAAGAAAAAGATGCCTTGACGCTCTCAGCAGTGCCATTTGATTCAGATTCAGATTCAATTCAGTTTGTGCAACGAGCAGCTAGAGCCAACTTTGAAAAATGGTAAGACAAAACTGAAATGGCGCAGCAAAAAGGGAAGAAGAAAATTGGAAAAAGAAAAAGTAGAAATAGAAGTGGACGTGGATGTGGAAGTGGAAGTATGTAGTTGGATTAGTGGAAGGTGTACGCCCCAGTCCAAGTACCCAGGCCGAGTGTCCATGGTATTGAAATGCAAATGGTCGCCTGCCTGCCTGCCTGCCTGCCAGCCTGCGAGCCTGCCCGCCCAACTGCCGAAATTAAATTATGTGGAAGTAATGATAACCCTTCTGCGCTGCCAGCGACGTCGATTGAATGAACGGCCTCAGCATCGGTATTGCCATCGCCATCGCCATCGCCTTCCCCATTTGAGGAGGGGGGACCTGTTTTGGCCAGCGACGTAACGCCCTTTTTGGCAGCTGCCTTCTGAGTGCCACGCCGTAGAACCGTTGGGGGCATGGAATCGGGACTCTCCTTTTTTTTTTAAGAACTCTGGGCTCTGACGGTTGGGTTTCGTTTTTGTGACGCGCTTCAAATGCATAATGAATCGGTAGGTGTGGCAACAGCAGCGTATTTATGGCCAACGGTAATTAATTGTTAGCCCAAGTGGCTGGCTGCATTGTGTGTGCGGGCCAACAGATGACACAGAGAGGTAACAGACAATGACAAACGTTATATCGGGAGTATACCAAAGTTGGGGAGGCTAGAACGAAGCTGCAAATTTGTTTCCTTTCTAGCTATACCAAGAATATGTTACTAAGTCTGCCTAACGATTAAAAATATGCATTCCCTAGCTACAAAGAATTGAAAGACCCATCGTTAGCCTGCTTTAGACTAGGTTATTAGATGTTGTATTAATTCTTCCTAGCGATGACAGATATGATATAAAGATATTCCTAGCTACAAAGAATTGAAGGACTCTTAGCGATTACAAATATGCATTCCCTGGCTACAAAGAATTGAAAACTTATCGTTATCCTGCTTTAGGGTTGGTTATTAGGAGTTGCACTTAGTTTTCCTGACGATTACAAATATGCATTCCCTAGCTACAAAGAATTGAAAGACCCATCGTTAGCTTGCTTTAGGCTTGGTTATTAGATGTTGTATTAATTCTTCCTAGCGATGACAGATATGATATAAAGATATTCCTAGCTACAAAGAATTGAAGGACTCTTAGCGATTACAAATATGCATTCCCTGGCTACAAAGAATTGAAAACTTATCGTTATCCTGCTTTAGGCTTGGTTATTAGGAGTTGCACTTAGTTTTCCTGACGATTACAAATATGCATTCCCTAGCTACAAAGAATTGAAAGACCCATCGTTAGCTTGCTTTAGGCTTGGTTATTAGATGTTGTATTAATTCTTCCTAGCGATGACAGATATGATATAAAGATATTCCTAGCTACAAAGAATTGAAGGACTCTTAGCGATTACAAATATGCATTCCCTGGCTACAAAGAATTGAAAACTTATCGTTATCCTGCTTTAGGCTTGGTTATTAGGAGTTGCACTTAGTTTTCCTGACGATTACAAATATGCATTCCCTAGCTACAAAGAATTGAAAGACCCATCGTTAGCCTGCCTAAGGGCTTGATTATTAGATGTTGTATTAATTCTTCCTATCGATGACAGATATGATATATAGATATTCCTAGCTACAAAGAATTGAAGGACTCTTAACTATTACAAATATGCATTCCCTGGCTACAAAGAATTGAAGAACTCAACGTTATTCTTCTTTTGGCTTCTACATACATGTTCTACAATTCCCTATTTCTTTTTCATGTCAATTCTCACTGGTCTTTCACATAAATCTACTGCCTACATAAACAAGACTTGTAGAGTTTTTTCTCTTCTTCTTTCATTACATATTTCCTCCGCCCAGTTTCATCATTTCTTGCAGGAGTTTGCAGCTGCAGAATGAAAATTAAAGCGACGGTTCGTGCTACGTGTTCTCCCTTAACTTAACTGTTTGTCCAGTATCTAAGGAATGGCTCTGTGATTGACTTAATGCTAATTCGCGACGCGATTGTTTCAATTTTGGCCAACAACAAATGGCGCTACAATTTGGCCAACACCAACACCAGCACCAGCAGCAGCAGCAGCAGCACAACAAAGACTTGACAATTGCGACGCGCTGTAATCTACTCGAGGCATTGGCAACGTCGCAGCTACTTACAGACGAACTAATAGATACAGATACATTTGCAGACACATACTCGCAGGCGAGGGCTGCACGCTTAGACAAACGATTGCGAGGGCCGGAATTTTGTGCGGGAGGGGGGCGGGGGGAGTTGGAGAAGGGGCCGCAACTGCCCGACGACAATTCACAAAATTGTTTTCGTGACTTAAATTTTTGCGTGCTGTTGGACGTGTTTGGAAAGCATATGATGTGATTTGCTATCAAATTGAGTTGTCGCCGTCTTCGTCGTCATCGTCAGCGTCCGAGGAAGATAAAGGAAACTGGCGGCAGAGTCAGGCAACCAGCCAGTCAGAGAGCCAGCCAGCCAGCCAGCCAGCCAACCAGCCGAAATGCAATTAAATTTAGAAAAATACAAGCAGGCTGACAGGCTGGCAGGCAGCTAGTTGTAAGAATAATACATAGTTTATAACAATAATACAATAATACATAGCAAAGTGCTTCGAAGGACCGATTGCGAGACCAACGCAAAGTGCTTGTCTGAAGCTGACGCTGAAGCTGAAACTGAAGCTGAAACTGATGCTGAGGCTAAGACTGGCAAAGTGCTTGTTGTCTATTTAAATAAATATACTCAAGCTGTGCATGCTGTTGTCAATTTACACTATCTCCCATATGTATTAAGACGAATCTGTATCAGTTGTCCCATCATCTCATTTCAAGTACAAGTACTCGACAAATGAGAACGACTTACAAATGAAACTTAAGGAACAAAATTCAGCGGCAGAGTAGTCTTAGAGCATTCTTTATTTTGAGACTCTCTTCAGATGATTTAATTATGCAGGCCTTAGACGATTTATAACAATATTGAAATTTGCAAATAAATATAATACTTAATAATAAGTGGACAATAGATCTAAATGTCGTTGTGTCGTCTGTATTTATTTTTATGACCATACCCACAACTCATTTTTAATTAATTAAACAGAACGCCCTAAAATATAATTTTGAAATACAAAAAAAAAATAGATAATAATAAATAAAAAACTTTTTTTTATCTCGAAATATTGAGACATACCAGTAAGCAGTTCAACAGATGCTCTTGTAATGATTTAGGGAATACAAATAGTCAGTGTTGCTAGGTATTAGAAAAACCAAGCCGTTGACCACAAAAGTATGCTATTCAAATGATCAAGTGTGTTTCAGTAGCCATTATTTATGAAAAACACAAATCGATAGTCTGATTGCGTCGATAGGTGCGGCTCATTTTCCGATTTTCCGCAAGAACACACACATAGTGCACATTTATCGGAGACCAGGAAAAAATATTATTAAACTACTGTCAAAAGCACACCTAGCTTCCGGCGCGCTATCATCTCTAATTAAATTGTAAAAATAGTTCATTTTTGCGCAAAAAGTATTATAATTGGGTAATCGGCTTATCCAGGCGTAAACCTTTTGAAAACTAACGCGCGTCAGCAGACTTAAGTCGATTTATGATGAACAACGCATTGACTTCGGCCAATGCCGAATCGCCTTCTGCCAATCCGCCGGCACACGTGATGAACGGCTTCGGACTTTCACGCAACCGCACTCCGGCCAATGCTCGAGCTTCAGCCGAGGTGCCTCTCGACATATTCGAACGTGATGGGGGTCCGGCCCGCCGAACTAGGAGTGCTACGAATGCGCACAACCATCTGCTGCAGTCCAGAAACGCTGAACAAGCCTCTGCAGTGGAAGAAGAGCCCAAACCCAAAACCGTGGAGGGCACTGCAGATGCACGTAAAGCTGCCTTATCACACCACTCGGGCTCCAACACAGATGTGGACGTCTACGAGTGTCCGATGTGCTTTGAGCCCGTCAGGCTCCGCGAACCCATGGCCACTAAATGCGGTCACGTGTTCTGCAGTGTCTGTATAGTGGCCGCACTCCACCAATCTCACAAGTGTCCTTTGTGCAACAAGGAGATGACCAAAAGCCAACTGTTCCGTATTTATCTTTAAACGCGCTACATTATTATTATTCGTGATTGTTTTCTTAACATTCACTTTTGAGTAACACTCGTTATTTCCTTCACATCTGAACAGATCATTGTTTTTCTTTGCTGCACTAGGACATTTCAAATGTCAATCCCATTCGCTTACATATATTCCAAACCTACATATATCATCATGTATGCAATAAATAGTAATTCAGCCATTCATTTGCAATGTTAAGAAATCTGCCAATACTGTAACGACTCAAGATTTAATCGGAGTTATACAAATTTATAGAAATTATATTTCTTTTAAAACAACGTCTCACATTATTTAAAGGGAGACACTTTATAACGGTTTTGTTTATTTTCAGAGGTTGCTTTTAATATTTAATTTAATTAATTTAATTAAATAACTAATTTTTTAGATAACATTTTTCCACATTTGCGGGCCAAATATTGGATTACACGCACTCTTGGCTGTTTTATTTTTGGGTATAAACAGAGTTTAAGGCTAAGCTCGTAGGGTAAAAATATTTTGGAAAAATTGTTGATGATTTTGTTAATAAGTTGCTACTATTGAGACAAATTTTGTGCTCGACTTTTGTTGAAATTATAAAAATAAGTAGCCATTTATTTTTCATATTTTCAAAACTTAGTACACTTGCATTACATTTTACGCTATGAAATAGAAAAATAAATTGAATTCTTGAGATACCATTTGAAATTGGCATTCTTTAGTTTTAATTAAAACAATTTGAATTAAATCGATTATAAAAACATGAAGAGAAATTTTCCCTACAAACTCATTAAGTATTTGGATGCATGTGATTTAATCTCTGAATACATGTATATCTAGATTTTTTTAATCAACTGAACGAACGTGTCAGTCATATACTTTGAACCATTTAGTTTAATTAATCCAAATAAAATTAGCAAAGCTCGTTGTTTTGTTTAATGGACGGATAAGTAATTCAAATAGTTAAGTGGAAATTACAAATATCTTCATCACTTTCAATTGATACATACATTCTTATTATCGATTTAGACATGTCCATCTGTCCGTCTGTATGAACGACTGAGTTTCGGGAACGACAGAGCCCACATTTACCAAACTTTGTGTGTAGGCTGTTCCAGTGCCTAGGCAATACGAGTTCCATTTTTCTTCTTCGCGAAATACAGAATTCCCTCAATATTGTTCAAAGTAACGAAGCTACACAAACTTAACCTTGCACAAGTAATTAATATCCGTACTTTTATTTGGGATTTTATGAAAATCAGTAAATGCGAAGAGAAAATAGTGGACGCGTCCCCTACTTATTCATTTTGAAATTTCCTACGTTTTACGTTTTCGATGAGACATTACAATTTTATTTAAGCTGCGGAGACACCTTCTTGAAAGCGAGCCTTGTTGACATACTTATGCCTACGAGTGTACGTGTTACGTTTGTTTTTCCCTTTTCCCCATTCCCCCCCTCTCATTCTCATTCTGCAGCTCCCCTCCGCCCTCCCCCACACCCATGGCTGGCATGTGTGTGAGGCTCAAGGAGCAAATGTGAAAATTTGCTTAGGCGCCGCTGCTGCGAAAAGTCTTGAGTAAATTGAGCGCTCTGTAAGATACAACTAAATTACACTATGCAAATATTTGCGAAACAAGCAAATACTCACACTTACACACACACACACACATATATATATATATACACAAATACACAGGCAGTGTTGCACGTGTGTTGGTTGTGGCAGCAACGCCTACGGTCGACTGCTGTTCATTAGAAATCAAATAAGCTCTTAGTCGGTCGGCCGGTCGACTGGTCGGTCTGCTGTTTGGTTGCTCGCTGGAGCCTCGCATGCATCTTTGAAATTGCAATTGCGACAATTTAGACCAAAAGAAAACAAAAACAAAAACAGAAACATGAACTCGTAAAACAAATGTTAAAACTGAACTACCCCAGGGCGGCAAATGCTTATGTAAATAAAGCACTCACATACAGCGGGACAAAAACAAAGGCGTGTTATCAAAACACACACACACATACACACACGAACGGCAGCAATCAAAGGCTACATGTACAGTACCGCCTGGCGAGAGCGATAACTTGAGGCCCACAAAAACAGAGCTCACCATCGAACAAAACAACGGCGGGGATGGGCTTTAGTACCTTCAGCAAATGCCTTTAATTTCCTCAATTGACTCCGGTGCGGATATTGAAGTTTTGGAAACAGTAAGGAGCCCAATTATCTATCTAGTATCTGTTTGTCTGTATGAACGCCAAGGATTTTTGAACCACAACCACTAGGGACACCTAACTTGCTACATAGACTTGTACAAGTATTATATACTCAACTTCCGCTGAGTAAGTTTGTTTATGTAACTTTTTACAATACCATATAACTATAACTACTCTACTTTGAAACACACAGAAAACAATTATAAACTCTCATAGTATTAACTTGCCATATATCAAATTTTAAATCTATACGAAGCAACGATTAAAATTCTCCATACATAAAATCCATGTTACGTTAATGCTGTACAGTCTTAATTACTTTAGATCTATTTTGAAACATACAAACAACAATTATGCCATATACTCGAATATAAATCTATAAATTTGAAATCTATACAATTTTTAGCCTTTTTTTGTAGTATCAATTTTGTCAATTCAATTCAATACAATCTCAACTACTCTTAAATTTACCAGACATCACAATATAAATTCAACTACACCTAATTCCGTTTTTACACGGTCTTTTTTCACACGGGTTTGATTTAACACGGTTTGAAAAATAAAAATGTTATATATGGTTATACGACTTTATTCCATTTAGCACGATTCACTTTGCATATGATCTATGTCTTTATTTTACACGTTTTTTAACACGACTTTTTTAGGAACCAATCTACCGTGTAAAAACCGAATTAGCTGTACTTTAATATTTAATTTTTCAGCCTGCTCTCAATATGTATCTTATGTCACCCGTAATTTAATCTACTCTTCAAACTAATTTTTAAAACTTAATCAACAATAAAGACTTCAACACACCATCATCTTGCTAGGGCTTTTTCCCGCTTTCCCCTCCACTCTGCCAAACTAGGAGTATAAATATGCTCATATATTTAAGGTTGATATTTGTAAAATATAAAGAATAAATTGTAAAACAAACTATTCGGCCAAAATAAATAATATTTGAGAAAGAAAAATTATTCATTATTTTGTATACCTCCCAAAGCACCGATCGTTGCAAAAGAACTTTTTTGTTTATACTGATATCTTAATCACATCAGGTATTTTTGTAAAAAGTGCACTTTACTTGAATCAACGATCGATTCCAGGATCACACTAGGTAGTGCTGCTTTATTATTTATTTTTTTTTTTTTATGGCATCATAACCAAATTTTGTTTGAGTTTTATTTAATGCCCCACCATAATCTGAGCTCGGTGCACTATTTTTACATCACATAGGAATGCTTGGCTGTGAATGGATATATGTAGCGGATGGGTAAAGAGTATTTAAGAGTCGGGCAGCCACGACGTTAACTACTCGTCTTTACTTGTTTTTACTTTAAACTACATAACCTACATAATTATGCTTAAAATTGTGTTTGAAAATGTACGATTTATTCACAATTTACAATTCAATTATGAATTCGAGCAAAAGTTCATTTTAGGTGCCAAAAAATATTGTATTCTTTTAAAATTTGTGCAGCAAAATCAACAACAATTTATTAAATAGATTCTTATTGCTATATTATGGAAATAAAAACCTAAAGGTTGGGACAATTGAATAAGCAGACAAAACTGTTGAAATAAATGTATAATAGAGCGTAAAATGGCAATTTAATGAAATTGAAAAAATTGCACTCATCGTCAATCAATCAATAATAATTATCAGGGACTGTAATCATTATGTTATTAAAAAAAATGTAAAAAAGAAAAGAGTTTTTTTTTAATATTATTCATTCCATAACAATATAATGATTTATTTTGACTTCGATTTTTTGAGCAAAAAAATTAAACTCATAAAATAATGATTATTCTTTGTTTTATTTTTTGATCAAAAAAATTTATATGTATTCTTTATTAATGAGCCAAGACGAAACCCTACATATAGTCCAATTTTGGACTAAAAACAACATCCCTATTAAAATATTTTCACTAAAACAGAAATACATAGCTAAATATTAGCAAACATACCGATTTAAAATTACAATTTCAGTTTTATTTTTCGTCAAAAAAATACAAATTTATTTTATGAGTTTTTTTATTCATTTATTTTGCTCAGAAATAATGATTATTGGTTTAGTTGTAAAGTATAACTAAAAATTAATCATAATATTGTGAGAGAATAGAAATTAAAATTTTGAAATCAAGATGAATATGCATAGATAATTCTGAGAGAAGAATATTGGTATAATTCCCGTTTCCTCAAAGTTTCTATAAGTGAATAATTTGTGTGCTTAAAAAAAAATAATGATTACTTGTAATATGTGCGGTCCCTGATTATAATTTTTCTCTATGTTTTAGTTTTTTAAAACCTTTATTGATGCGCTGGACTCTGAACCTAGTTTAAAGAAACAACTAAGCTGATCGACCCTATATTGCGGACTCAGACCAGAGTGTGGTTGCTTTGGCGCAGCAGTAGCTCTGGGGTTAAGGTGTCGGCTTGCAAGCCAATGCGTTCCAGTTTCGAGTCCCACGAGCAACTTTGTTATTTTTGTTTTTATTTTATTAAATTCATTTGAATATGGCCTTAAAATAAAACACAAATAAAAATATAGAAAAGCAAATGCAAATGTATGCTGCACTTCAAAAGATGTTTCAAATTAACATAATAACGAAACAATTTTTGAACAAATATTTTGTAAAAATTTTGGAAACAGAAAACGTGCAAATTCGTTAAATAAATACATAAATACACGTAGCTATTGTTTTACTTCAAAAACACACGCATCCGACTAAATTTATAAAGCAATGGCTTCAAATATGAAGACAAATTGTTTGCTTTAGCAAACTTTTATTTTCCTTCAAATACAATTATTCAAAGCTGTTTATTCTTTGCAATTTGTATGCAGCCGGCAGCTATTACAAAAGCAATCAAC